GTTGTTCTAAGGAAGAAGATCTTTGCCACTGTCCAGATAAGTGATAAACAAACTAACATAATGCTAACATGATGCTTAAATTTTCCTCTTATTCTCTCGGTTCCAACTTCTCTACTCTTTGGAAAGATAGGCGGGTTGTTAAGGGCTACAAGTAAGTCAAAGTCAGTTTTAAAGATGTCTTGTCACCATGCTTATGCAGAGAAGCAGTATCAGGCTTCATAAATCTCTGGGAACACCTTCAACTATTTATGAGTCACGTCTCCCATTAGGTCACCCCCTGAGCAACAGATGCAAAAGCGGCATCCCGTTGGTTCCAGAAAACCAGTAAAAATTGGATTATGTTATATATATTATTACATATTATGTATAATATATATGTCTATATGTGTGTGTGTGTGTGTGTGTGTGTGTGTGTGTGTGTGTGTGTGTGTGTGTATGTATCTCCCAAATGAAGACTACCTCAGTCAGGCTTCAGAATCTATCCTGATATGGAAAAGAACTAACAGCTATGGCTTATAAAACGTATTTGAGGTGCTCTATGAGTAGATTTAGTCTAATACCAGACAGAGTTTACAAGGTGGAATACTACAAAGTATATACCACTGATGGAGATTTGACCTGTTTCACAACAGCCATAACCAGTGACTGTAATCCTCTTTTGGGGTTCCCTTTGGCTTTGCTTCATGAATGAATCTGATGGATAAATTTACAAGTCTAACCAAGAAAGGCTTATTGCTATGAGAGATGAGTTATATGGTACCAGAAAAACACCTGCATTTATCAGAACACAATTTATTGTTGATAGTTTCCTTACTGTGAACTCAGAAAGAAAATGAAGGTTGATATAAAAAAATACAGTGTTATCATTTTCTGGCAAAAAGAAACAAAAATGGTGTATAACCTAGGAAAACAGAGGACAAAGTCAGTAAATAATTTAATGGTTGTTACTGCATTTAGAGGTGGAATTAATTGCTTTACTAAAAAAGTAAACAAAATAATAATGAGCAATATATTAATCTAATTTAACAATGCAGATTTTTCTACATAACTGACATGACAGTTTTAACAAAACTGTGATATATCCTGCGATATAGTGTGAGCACTTCAGAATTCTTTGCATTTTGTTACAGTACAGAGTGTGACTTCATTAAGATGTTGAAAATTCTTTAACATTTGGAATATTTTTGTTTCTTTCTCCTTGGTGAATCTTTTTACTGTTTATTTTTTATGTTATTTGATTGCTCTATTCCATATAGCAGTAGAGGTGAGTTTTTCTCTGACCAAGGAATCTCAAGATTGGAAAGACACTTAGGAAGTGAGAAATTTTTTTCTTTTATCTTTATAATTATCCACAAAATTTCATTATTAATTGACCACCTGTCTCTGTTTTGAACCACTAAAATGGGGTCCATCACAGATAATCTCTACCAAGTTGTAAAGCAACATCAACACTGGCTTTAGCACCACTTGGCACTTGGCTTCAGCACCAGTGAGCAGCGCTTGTCCCTCTTTCATCTAGTGCTATAGACATAGTGAGCATCTTGATTTTCACCTAAGCTTGGTGCTAGCCTCAAGCTTGTACAAGATTACTCCTGCATCTTTTTTGCAACACTTAGGGGTGTTCGGGTGAGAAAGGCTGTTCAAGTGCTAAAGGTTGACTTATTGCTATTATTACAAACATTGCAAGTTTGCTTGCTGGGTGTGTTCAGTGTGAGGGCCCTAATCACAGATAATGGGAGACGAGCAAGAAATGACATGGATTCCTGTCAAGTAGTGTATTGTGGTACAGAAAATGTTTCTTTTTCCCCTCCTAAAAACCTAATAGCTCTGTGTTACTGCTTATCATCCTGTAATTGCATGTACTTTCAAAGGAAAAATAGTTGTTCTCTTTGGATTGGTGTGAAAGTGTGCATTTAGAAAGAGCCTAATGTGACATTGCAATAACAGAGGACAGTAGAAGGAAAATCAAGGGTTATGTATTCCCTTCTTAGAAAGCCTGAGCTTTCTATGTGTAAATTAACATAACTAACACTAGTTATACATATACTGTGCAAAGACTAGCATCCCAACTATAGAATGCTATGATAAAAACACAGTCACTATGCAATGTTACTCTGTATTGATTTGGGACTGAATTCCAGATGGAAAAGAGTAAGAAAGTTTTAAATATGTCTTTGCATTTAACAAAGTTGCAGTGGTGGGATTGTGTGGAGGAAGATACAATAGAAATGGAAGAGAAGTTTATAATGGAAGTAGTTATATGCAGATAGAAATAGTTTGCTGCAGATTCTTTTAATAAAAATTAGAATTGTGCTAAATATGTTTATATTACTGTTTTCTCCATTTTCTCTTTGGATTTTTTTTTTTTTAATGCAGTATGCAGTTTTTGTATATAGTCTAATACGGAGCTGTTTTGCTTGAGATAATATCTAAACAGTGACTTAAAGAGCAACAAGTGAAGGTGAGACATTGTAGAAATTAGGATAATTAGCACTGCTCTTCTGTGTCATCACATCCTAAAAAATTATAACCGGATGATGTGAAGGTCTTATAAGTAAATATTTTTTAAGAACATGAACACTTACAGAAAAAAAGTGTATTAAAGAAGGCCGTTTTTGAATTTGAAAAGACTAAGTGAAGAAATAAAGATATGTAAGTTCTCTGACAAAAATACTACTAAGGAAAGTCAGAAGGCAGATTGGATATGCTAAAAATGCAATCAAATAAAATAGAAGAGCACATGCTGATGTTAAAGACATATATGTTTCCTCAGGGCAATGTAGGTAGAGATTCTTTGTGCCAAATGGGAAAAAGCTCTGTACTTCTTTTGTTACTGCACTCACTTCCCTGTAATTTTCCATATTGAATTTAATATTATTAGACCTTTTGCTCTTGCCGTAAGAGGTCTAATTGTGAATTAATGGGCATGCTTGTGAGCATTTTGCAGAGGAGTATGCATTGAAATTCACAAACGTGCATTCTCATTAGTTTCAGTATTTTATATTTGTGGGAAACTGGGTCTTACACCCCCACCAAAACCAGCCTCTATATTCTAATATTCTATTCCATATTCAACACCAGAGAACTAGTTCTCAAAATCTGTAAAGGCAATATTTCTATCTTTAGAGGTGGATATTAGTAAAACTGGGAACTTTTGCATGTAGAGAAAGACTGTGGAGCCAGAACAACAAACTTGGGCTTATCTGTCCTCCTGACAGCTGCTGTCAATTCATGAAAAGCACAGCATGCCTACTGCAGTCACGGAGAGCAGTGGTGTCACTAGGACCAAGCCAGCTCCCCCCTGGCCTTGTCACACAGGCAGTCCATCACTTTCTGCAGTGGAGCAGAGAACCTGCTTGAAATTCCAAGAAGAAGGGAAATATCAGCCCAAAACTTGTTCTTTTCTTCTTCTTCTTTTTTTTTTTTTTTTTTTCCTTCCTTGAAAGAGAGTTTATGGATAGGAGATGAGCACAGGCTATACTACAGCTATTAGCTCACTTTTCCCAGATATTAGTAATCCTGGTGTATCGTGAAAGGGAATTCAGAAGTTCCTGACATCTGAGGCACCTCATAAACATACTTAACCGTCCTTGTTGCATAAGAAGGCAAATTGAAATGCTTGTCTATCTTTGGTAATAGATTTGTTTTTGTAGGAGAAAATGAACCTGAAAATCTTCCATCAGTTCTTTTGATTTTCAGTACTTTTGAAAAAACTGAAACATTCAGAACTATGAATGAAAAGTGACAGGAGCTCCCATACAGGCGCTTGTAGGGACACATTCCAGATACTTCATTCTTAATTTCTCTTCATTTACTGTGTTTCCTCTTGTTTGAAGTTTGGTGGGAGGGTGAAGAGGGAGGAGGAGTGATTGGCTAAGAGACAAGGATTAACCACATCTTAGGTCAGTACAAATTTTTATTAAAGGAAATTGTTACATAGTTGCTGTAACTAGAGCTTTTATTCCAGGGGTAAGGACTTATTCCATATTGGTTAACATAAGGCTGTTATTTCAGCCTTTCCTGTCCTTCAAATTGTACTCTTTCTCCCAAGATTCACAAACATCTTTATATTTCCATACTAGAGATTCATATGTTTCATTTCAGCTCCTTTTTTCCCCTAAGAAATTAATTTTTTGCACAAATGTGACATCCAATTTTCATTTGAAATATGTTGCTCTTTTCCCTAAACATTTTTTTTTTTTTACATTGGACAATTTCTACCTGTGCTGCCAGGTTCAGTATTATGGTTTAGTCTTAAACATGGTCTAAAAAACCCAGCTGTGGCTGGGTTTTTGTCACTACATCACTACAGGCTGCAAAGAGCATGTGCTTTGATTACAGAACTGCTTACTCTTTGCTATGTGACTTCTCTAAGTATGGTTTCTTGACATCATTTCACATCAGAAATACATATTTACTTCTTGTGCACCCCATTCTCTTGTGTTATAAAGAGGACATATTGTACAACACATGATTTTCTAAGTGCTTCACTGTACCTTTTCTCTTGCATTTTTATAGAATTTTCTGTTATAGACAATTAATGAGCTGAAACATACTTTATAGTTTTAGATGTGGTGTCTTAGACTTGGCATGAGGAGTAAAAGAATTAATATTTATGATACCAAAAAACCAATTCTGAGCAGTGCATTCAGAAATTTAATTTGGCCCAGTACATTTACAGGGAACAGTCTGGAGCTAAAGAGTTATGATGTGAAAATTTAATTTGGAGACATTGATAAGGGTGTGTTTAATCTCTGTCTAACTGCAAAGCTTTCTCACATAAAGATTGTTCTGATTTTATTAGGCAGATCATGACAGCAGCTGAGGTCAGCAGAGGTAGCAACTGGATGTCTACAGTCAGAGAGTGTGATCGAATTCCTTCCCCAAGGAGCAGTGGAAAAATAGTCTGCAAGCCAATCATCTTGATTGGTGCAGGCATTCTTCCAAGCACAAGAGAAATTTTGACTAGGGGCTAGAGGCAAAGCAGGGAGATGATTAGAAGATAAATAGCCTTTGGATGAGATCAGGCAATTTTTTTTGTATTGGTCTTGAAATCAAATGTTCCTCCAGACATGTAAAATTAATTTCATCCTGAAATAGCACTGCACCCAGGTAAGTAGCTTAAAATGTCATGCAAACTCTTTTTTATACTTTTGGTTTTATACTGTTCTCCCTCTTTTAAAAGATATTTTATCTACAGATGAAATAGCATAATATAGATTCAATAGGCTAAGTGTACAGTTTTCTCTCTTACATATGGCTTATGGCAAAAAAATATCCATGGCTCAAACCTACACTAATTTCTTTTATTAGAAAGCAGGTTTTCCAGAGCTATAGGGCTACACGAAGCAAATCCCTACAGGCTTGTATTAGAGGGGCGTAGAAGCACTTGTCCTGACAGCATCAGAGTTTTTCAGAGCTGTCCCTGGAAGAAAGGCAGAGAGTCACCCGTGGGCATGTGTGAGAGAATATTTAAACTGCTGCCATTCCTGTGCCGGATGGGCATCCCCAGCCCTGTCTGGAAACTGGGTAGCTCAGCTGGTTTTCTGAGGGAGTGTGTTTGTCATGGTCATGGTGTATCAGCAAATGCTCGGTCACTGGTGTAGCCACACAGCCTCTGCACAAGAGCTGGCTTCAACACGGCCAGCCTGAATACAGGTGGAATAGAAGGTTCTTCGCCCATACTTGACTACTAGAGGACCTATTCCTAAACAGCTACAAGTGGAAGACAGAGAACTCTGAAAGGAGTGAAGTAATGGAAATAAGAATAAGTACCTTGTAATACAGGAGAAGTAACCATAGCTTTCCAGTTCTTTCATTTCCATATTCTTTTGCTAAAGATAACTTATAATGTTTTTCTAAAACAATTTGCACACAAACTTTGAATGGCTGAGCTGTTACTGTCTGGTGCCTTCCATGAGACAAACAGCTTGGATCTTTATCAAGTTACTTGGTGAAAGTGTTTTTTTTTTTTTGGAAATTAACTATCATCTCCTATCAGGACCAAGAAGCAAATTTGAGGAGATAAATTTTCTTGAGTCTTGGAGGTTCATGTGGTCCCCAGACAGGTTCTAGACCATCACTCACAGCACTATCAGACTCAGACTTGGTATTATGGGTAAAAAGAAGTTTTATACAATAAAACTTGTACTATCACAAAGTGGTTGAGAAGCAATCAGGTTTGAACACTGATCATGTGGTAAGAGCTGCTTATTCATTCATATTGTTTCCACTTTATCTCTGTAGCTGCTAAATATTTTTATATAGAGATACATCTCTACTGTTTTATTATATAGCTTCTTAGTCTTTGACTTGATTTCCATGTGTCACACAACAGTCCAGCAATTACTCGACATAATTTATGTGAAGGTGTTGCATTACTTGCTACCACGCAGATATTGGAAATAGAAACACCTTTGAGTACAGTATAGACACATATAGACTATGCTATTAAGGACAACCCACATTTTCATTTGGGACTTTAAGAATCTGGAAATTTCAGAAGTAATTATCTTGATTGCCTAGATTTTTTAATAACAGTATTTTTCTCATACTCAGACTTTCACCTCTGTCATTATGGTTTTTCTTTGAAAAAATTAAATATTGTACAATCGTAGAGCCTTCCTCACTTAAACCTAAGTGGATATCTGTCTAAGTGGTTTGATTTTTCTACCATATACACCACAGTAAATATTTTACCAATGTGAGCTGGATTTATGCAGCAACAGTAGCAGCTTGTAGTAGATAGTACTCTGCTTCCAGTGGAATAGTGAGACTCCAAAAACTCAGAAAACCTGTGGATTCATTCTCACTTTTGCTCCTTTGGTGTCATCTGTTCCTTCTTTCTGTTTGGCTTTTTGCTAACAGACAGGAAATCCTTGCATAGTGAATGGAAGCGCTTCCTGAAGTTTTTTCTTCATTCCTTTGTCTCCAGCTGAGAGGAAGTGTTGCTGTCAGGTAGATTCTCTACACACCAGCTACTGTGGAACAGGAAATAACCATAGAGATGTTTGTTTGATAGGCAAGGGAAGATTTTTGAAACAGTATATTAGCATATGAGTACCAAGTAAGACTAATATTTTGTTTTATAAGTTATGTTCTTCTTAATGCGTCTGCCTCATTTCTGTCTTGAAGTAGTCTATACAGAAATCCTGGAAAATGAGTATTTCACATTCTGAGGCTACACATATTAAAGCTGTTACTTGATGGCCATCATTGCTATCAATTACCTGCTGGCCATCACACAACGCTAAACATGTGACAGATAAACCAAGGGAATGCTGAAATCTTGCTGTGTGGTGTATTGACATAGAAGACTGTGAGGTGTACTCGCGGTGAAGACTTCTCTTTACTGTGTTGTGGTTGTTAGATTCAAAGTAATGTTGATTCAGATCAGTTGTCTTAGTTTCCTGAGCTCATTAGATCTCTTTAGGATTAGTATTGAAGAGAAAGATATTCTGTGTTTCTTGACAAATTGTCCCTCTTTCTTCTGAAGAACATTCCTCAGTTTTAGAGGTCTGCTTCCTATTTTATACTTTTAACTGATTAAAACTTCCTGCCCAGGAAGTAGTATTTAAAAGACCTGTGCTTAGGGACATGATTTAGTGGTAGACTTGGCATCATCAAGTGTATAGTTGGCCTCAGTGATATTGTGTCCCTTCACCTAAATGATTCTGTAATTTTGTGATTCTAGGTTTTCATTTGGCTTCCTCCATTTTCTTTGTAAATTGGTCATGCATCATAACTAAGGTTATCCAAAACTCTGAATGTGTATATATTGCTTTCCTAATAATCAATTACTAAGCTGAGTTTCCTGTCATCTGGACAAACTGTTAATGTTATACTGAGACACCTAAGGAATTATTCGTGAGCCCTAACAGTCCCATGGCTTTCTGGTTTTAAGTGTTAAGAGAAGCCATGTCACTGGCAACTGTGACTTCCATTGTTTTTTAACCCAACCATGCAGGTGGGCTTTGTTGAGTTTTCTTTTAAAAATGCTGGTCTGTGCAATCTACTGAGCAGCAATGAGAAAACTGATTCCTCATGGGACTTGAACATGTGCCTGACAATATGCATTCAGTAATTCCACTGATTACAATTGAAGGGTTCATATGTTTAAAGTGAAACATATTTAAGTGCTCTTCTGAGTGGTACATGTTTTAAACTCAACTACCAAGCATATAACAATAGGCCCAGAGATCCTTATGATTAGACTTATTAAAATAAATTGCTAAAATCTATGATTGCCTAGGCAATGAAATTTCCCAGACTGTGTTTCTAGTCCTCTTTCCTTCAGTACAACAAAATCAGCATTGGATTTCCCCAGATTTCTCATGACAGATTTGTAGTGTTTTTGCTCTTTTACATTCACTTTCTGACTTTACAGTGTTAAGGTGCTGCCTACTTTTCTTTCTATAAAAAGCCATAAGGAGTTTAATTAACTTATTTAAATGTGCTTGTTATCTAGACTCAGAAAGGCCTCCTGCTTGTTGTCAAAACCAGGTAATAATTTAGGCTTTACACTCCAAGTTGTCATGCAGGGCATCCTACAGCTGCAGAAGCAAGCAGGGACTTCAGTTAGAATAATTCATGTATGCCATATGCCACCTTTACTTGGAACTGCAATTTTTGGCATGGGATAGGATGCTCTGGTTTTGTTCTTTAATGTCAGCTTCTACCTCCCCACATACCCACAAATTCCAGGATGTCTGAAGACATTCCTACCTGTGTGATACTTAAGCAGAAAAATATGGAATAGAATATATGGTGGATTCGCAGAAATGTGTAATATTTTAAAAGTGTATATACTTATTCCAAGTGTGTCATAGCTATGTGTACTTCTTAAGCTGAATACAATTTTCAGCTCAATACAATTCTCAGTCTTTCATATTTTTTAATTTAGGATGCTACTCAAACCACAATAATCAATGTCTGTAGAAATGTTTCTTATGAATGTCTGTTATTTGTTAGTACCTAAACAAACAATTGTATCGTTTCAGACCACAGCTTATTACAGCAACTCTTTTCATTTGCATTTATGATCATAGAATAACCGTACACAAATCTATATCTAGTTATAAAAACGTGGTACCCTTCTCAGCTACCTGCATAATTCATTTGTTGCCATTTGCTTCCTCCAGAGCTTGTTGGGCATGGCTGGAAACTGCAGAGATGAGCTCCGGAAACATCTGGTTATTTTCACTGTCTCCACTTACTTAAAATGGGTTGGTGTTTCCTCTCATGAAATCCTGCTGTCTGGAGGCCTCTGCAGTTGTGAAATGTGTGCACATGGAGAGGCAGGTTGAGATTTCCCAGTCCATGAGAGTCACTTTAACATATGGTCTTCTGGGGCTTGTCTTCTTGGAAGGCTGCAAATGTTACAGGCCTGATGGGTGTTATGATGAAATTTGATGAGTAATTCTCATGAAATGAAATCAGGTATCAACCTTGATCATGAAATGTGATTATTGGTGCCAAGTTCATACACTTTTAAAGTACCTTCACTATATAAAGCTGAAATTTTGCTATTTTTTTTTTCTTAAACCTTCCTCACTGAAAAGGGAATCAGAGGTAAAAAATCAGAGGGTAAAAAATCTGGAGAGGAAAACAAATTATTTTTTACCTTACTTCAAATCAAACACAAAAAGTTACAATTATGTGCAATTATGAAAAGTAAGCTGTACATAGCATGTGTAAAAGTAATTAATTAAAGGCCTGTATGTTGCTTTACCAAGAAAAGCCCACGCAAACAATTAGATGTCAATCTGCCTTTCCATAAAGAGTGCCTGATATACAATCTCTTATTTTCCTCTTTTCTCCCACATAGCCTTGGCTTAAGGTTGAAAGCATGCACAATTTTGGACAATTTTGTTTTGCACTGAATGGTGACTTTCAGATAATTTGCTCACTGTAGTGGTGATTAATATATTTAACAAACAACACCAAACAACAGAAGTTTACAATGAAACGGTGATAGAAATCATGTTTTGGAAGTTAAGAAAGCTGCTCCATCAGGAAATTAGTCATAGTAAATTCTGGAAGGAAAAAATTATGGATCAAAAGGTTAACATTCAGGTGCTTTCAGTGTAACTTAAAACCCCTCCTACAAACTC